CTTTCTTGTTTTTCTTGTTAAATAAGACTTTATGGGCCATCTTAGTTTCTCTTTTCAGAAAATTCCTTGAGCTCTTTCTTATTCTATTACTAGTTCATATCGTTTGTTCCATACTTCTTTCCTGAAGTAATTCAAAGTCTTCTTTTGACAACGAAGTATCCATTTTCTGGCAACTGTTTCTATCTTTTTTCCTCCACATTCAAGTTCTCCGACTTCACTTAATAAATTCCTTTTGATCAACCCTGAAAGAAAACTGACTGAGTCTTGACTATAGTGAATACTTTTTCAATAAATTTTGTTGTCCATGCTTCTATTTCTTTTATTTCTTTTTTATCTACTGTTGGGATAAAATAAATAATTTTTTATTGAATTATAAAAAGTAAAAAATATATATATTTTTTCAAAAAAAAAACTCTTCAACTGATTCTCTGACCACACACAAAAAAAATATTTGTAAGAAGTTTTTATACTTATTTACTAATAAAGTCTAATATTTTTTTAAAACAACTTGAAGTATAGCTTTAAGAGTCACTTCTATTCTTTCTTCTTTTATTTACAAACCTTTTTACTCAAAAACTTGACTTCTAGTGACTAAGAAAAGTCAAGTAATACCTTTGATACCAATGGTAAGAAAGTTTTCAAAGAAAGAAAAATTGACTGTGAAGTACCTGAAGGCTTTAAAGCAAAAGGTATATAAAGGTTTTAGATGATAGAAGGACTTATTTTTCCTTTCCAGTTACTTGTGAGCCTCTTAGAGCTATCACTTTTATGGTTTTCTGAAGAATTTTGCCTACCTCAATTTGACCCTAAATTTTGGATAGCACAAATTCTCACCAAAGGTAATTGGTTAATATAAAACATATTAGTTTTTGAAATGTAAACATGATTCTATTGGTCACATTCATGTGTTCTTATGACATCATTGATGATTGAAAAGAAGATTTCAGAAATGTTTGCTCCTAAAAAAGCTCAAGTTCCTTAATGAAAACTTCCATGATATCAAAAGACCAAGTGATGGATAATGTGGATTGCAAACTCCTGTCTCTTACCTAAGTTTCTCAAGTAGTGACAAAGCTTTAATGAAAAAAAGCTGAGGTTTAAATACTTTTCTTGAGATATTCCAATCCGGTACTTATTTAAATGAAAGATCAGTTGAATTGACTCATCTGATATCACAGGTGATAAAAAAGAAGACTTCTTCTGAGGTTCAAGTGAAGTAAGAAGACTATTCCAATTAGGTAGATCCCTTTTGAGAAGAGTTTGTTTTTATTTTTGGATTTTTTTGATAGACCTTGAATTGTTTCTTTTTTCCAATTGTTTTTTCCCTTTCCCTTTTTTAACTTAGCAATTCATTGGTTTTCGAGCAATCAATAGTGACAAACTGTTGATAATAATCCTGGTAGATAAAGGCTATTACCAATCTATTAGGGAAGCAAGATATTGTTCCCAAAATCGGACTTAAAGTATTTTTGTATAAAGATGAGTTAGTCACTTTGTGAAAATCTGTAAAATATTGTAAATTTATTTCAATTTTTCAATAAAGACATGCCATTGTGGCATGATTGCGGATTAAAAAAAAAAAAAACTAAACTAAATTAAAAAATCTTTGAGTCTATGAATATATGATAATATTTATTAGATTTATTAATTATAACAAATTAGAAAAGTTAAATTTAACTAAAATATATTTAAATTAAATATTTTTAATTATAAGAAATTAAAAATTTTTTTCTATTAAAATAGTTTTTTATTAGAAGTGAATATATACAATAATTTAGAATAGTTAAATTTATTCTTTATAATTATTTATTTTCTTTTATTAATATTTATTATTTTTTGTATTTAGTTAAAATTAGAAATTTACATTTTAAATAATAATAATAAATTAGTATATTTTTTATTTTAGTTGTAAGAAATAATAAAGTTCATTAAATATATTTAAAGATATGAAAAATCTAAAAAAACTTTTCTATTAGCTTTTCTAATATTGATTAAGGATTAGAATAATTATTTAAAAATATTAAAATTGATATCTATTTTGGACTTTCTAAGATGATAGAAGAAAAAAATTTTAAAATTATTTGTGATTTTTTAAAACAAAGAGAAGTTGATAAAGATCATAGAATAAATAAAAACATTTGTTTACAATCTCTATTGCTAGAAAGAGATAATAGAAAATTGATCTTTGCAAAATCTTTAAATATTGATAACAATCAATTAATATAATCCGAAATAATAAATTGCTTTAATTTAAAACTTTAATTTATTCTTATAATAGAATAAAAGATTTTTTATTGAAGGTTATTTTAATTTAATAACTAAATATTCTTTTAATAGTAATGGATACATCTTGCTTAAAGAAATTGATCCTGCAGAAAAAACTTTTATTGAACTAGAAAAGAAAAAAAGAAAGCATAAAAACAAAGTCTTCTTACCTTTATTTTACAATACAGCCTTAGAATTAATGGATGAGATATTAATGGAACTTTTAGACCATGATATAAAACAGAAAATTTATTGAATTAGATAATCAAATTAGGGATAAAATAATAGCCAAGTTAAGAGTATATAAAGAAAAATATAAGCAATGAGTGAAAGAGTTGTTAAACAAAAATAAAAAACAGGATTTAGAAAATAAAGAAGTAGAAGAGAAAAATCCTTCTCCCCAAGAACCACCTTTCGAAGAAAATAACAATTTATTTTAAGAAATAGCAGAATTGGTTACTGAAGCTGAAAAATCTCTCAAAGATAAATACTTTGTGAAATTAGGGCAAGTATTGGCAAAAATAAAAAAATATTGCAACACTAGTACTTTTGCTAATAACAAAGAAGCGATTGATAAACTAGAACGAGCATTATCAAGGCATAATCAGCAAGCAGATGTTAATGAGGGCAAGCTTTTAAATTATCCTCTGGTTTTTGGTATTTTAGTAAGTGTCGTTACATTATCAACCTTATTGATAAAGTCATTTAGAAGTAAAAAAAACTTGTTTTTTGGTCATTTTTTAAGGAGAAAAGCCAAGACTTAATTGCTTCTCTTCCTTTATATTATGGGCAAATAAAATACTTGGAGCCTGATGCCCAAATAGAGTATTGAAAAAGAATGATATAATAATTACTTTCTGTTTACACCGAATTTGACAAGAAAAGATTCCTAGTAAGGTTCAAATTATTTCATTCCACTTCTCTTTCAACTTTTTAAATTAAAAGGCATAAAACGGGAATTTGTAGAGTACGAATATAATGAACATTTCATATTGTAGCATAAAAATAAAAGAGCATACTGGCGCATACACGCACGTGCATAGTTGATTACTAATTATGCCCAATATCCTAAATTATAAAAAAAAATTAGTGAAATAGGCGTCACACAAAACAAAATACTGTTGACAATAAAAAATTTTACTCACCAATCAAACCCATAATACCGGCCCCTGTTATGAGGCAGAGGAAGGCTGAAAGTTGCGTATAGTCGCTTTTCTTACGAAACTTGACGTCATATATAAAATCATTTGCAATTAATTCCACCAATGCGGCATATAATAGAATACCAGCTGATACGGAATCGAGAACTCCTTCCGTAATAAGCGCAGTTGCTGAGCCTTCACTGTACGTCTGGCGAACTCCTATACCAATTGCGATACCTAACGGAGTGGTTGTTCCATAAGCCAGTGACATTAGCCAAGGCTTAATGCTTCCTTCTTTGTATCCTAGTTCGGCTATACGCGAACCAAGTCCTAGGCCTTCGAACAACTGTTGTGTTCATGTAAATCAAAGTAGAGAACTCAAGATACACCAACCCATTGAAACATTTCATAATAATGACACTGACAGCTTAACACCGTAACACACACCTGGTGAAATGTCAAGGCTATCAGCAATGATGTAAAAGTAGAGCCGGTTGAAACTGCCAGAGCTATCCCGATTATCACTGAGTGGAAACAAATACCGGTCTCCAGAATCACAATACCTAAGATCTGAGATTCTTTCGTAAGAAAAAGCATGCTTCCAAGGTGAGAATGAAAATGTTCACTTTTAGCCTCAGAAGCATCATTGTTTTGTGTCGAATCTGTAGGCAGCTCATGTTTTGTGGTTTGTAATTTTATGGAATAGTATTCTAGGAAAAAAATAAGCAATGCTGCCATCATTGCAATGGCACCTGGCCAAGAATTGTAGTTTACCCATACCGATGGCAAGCATGGATTTGTCAAATTTGCAAATGCGTTCGGAAGCATCTAAATGAAAGTTATAAAGTGAATTATTTCACGTAAAAAAATGTATTAAATGAGAACCTGAGACACAGAAAAAGACTGCATATTACATGAATAAATGCGGTGGCGAGAATTACACCGGTGCCGAAATTCTTCGTAACTGTTTATTTAAACATATTAATTTTTGCCAAGAGAAGTCAAAAGTTGATAAATTACGTACCAAAGAAAATTCCCCGAGGGATGGTAAACGAAGGGTGTCTCTTCGAAATGACCGGTAGAAATGCACCTAATTGTAGCAACTGTAGCGTAAGTTAAATGGCCCAAGAAATAATAGCACGAACAAGCATTGAATACTGACCAAAAGAACTTGTCGCAAGGATAATAAAAAAAGCACCAATATGAAGCCCAAGGTTATAAGCAGATCCATCATGACCACTGCTACTGCACCCAGTAGCTGTGCTGTTTGCTTGGTCTGCTGAACTGGTAGTGCTGGGTGTGCTAGTTGTGCTTGTCGAAACGTTTCCGCCTGTAGGGTCTGCACGGATCTTCAATAATCCTAAGGGATTTTTTATTTTATTTTTATTTTTTTGTGCGCGTTTCAGAAAAGAAGCTGCAGTCCAAGAATTGTGTTTATTACCTTTCGAGGCGGAAACGGATCCAGTTAATATATAGTATACAACCAGCACGCAAAAGAAAAGTTTATATGATAGAAGCATTTCGTAAACCCTTCAAGAAAATAATAATAATAAAGGAGTATACTTAGAACGAGTGGTAAGGAAGGTCCGGCAAAAAAAAAAGGTAAATCCGAAAGTATTCTTTTTCTTTTTATTGTCGGGATTTCCGGTTTGCATAACCAGTGAGGTACATGACTTTAAGTTTCTTGTCACCATTGAGGTACTCGAATTAACAAATAACCTTTGAGGTACTCAAACGATTGGTTATTTTTTATTTAGTAACACTACGCCAATCCCTAGTGGGGTAGAATTGTGATAATTATGATAATTGTAAAAATTCAAACCCGAATTACTAATCGATAATCTCTGAATAAGAAAAAGAAGACATATATATTGCTTAATCTTCCCATAACCATTTAGTTCAGGATCAAGATCTTGATGACATGAACGCCGAAGAAGCTGAAGATCATATAATTGGTTGCCTTAAAAAGAAAGGATGGGTACCTTAGAGGTAATCCAAAAAGTTTGTATTACGCTACACTGAATAAAATCCGTACGCATGTGCATACATACATACAGTAACTACTTCCACGACTACGTACACATAATATGCACTCACGTACTTAACAGTATATTAAAAAAAAAAAAAAAAAAGAAAGAAAAAAAAAATCGATAATGACGATGATAATGATTCAAACTGATTAGATAATGTGCATGCGTGAAACCGATAAAAAAATGTTCAAAGAGCAAAATACTAGAGTAAAAACATCAAAAGCATTATTATGAGAGCGCTAAACATTTAGTTTCAATTCTATTTTGTGTTGAAGACCGGGGTTTTCTTAATTACAGAGATCCATTGCTTTTATCACTGACGCCAAATTTTGTACTCTTTACGTAATGACTATTGAGACTGGCAGCAATCAACTTGGTGAAGACATTATTTTCATAAAAATGATCGAGTTACTGTATTTACGGTATTTATAATAAATATTATATTCTTTAGTATAAATGCTATAGAAAAGATTTCACTAGCTATACTTTAATAATCAGTAGCTGACCAATTAAGACTTTAATTTTAATGTCTCTTGGCTAAGTAAAAATTATTTAATTCAGGCGAAAAGGAAAACCTGGTGGAGTTGTGCGATGATTCTTCCAAAAATTGCATAACAGAATCATTTGAATATTATTGCGTCATTGATTTTAAAATAAACGTCTAAAGTACAAGAATTATAATAGTCGTAACTTTTGATATACTGTATACTGTACATGCGTGTAAAAATTTACCTGTTTAATTATGCATATTAAAGAACATCATGTCAGAGGCGTGGCAATGTCCGTTGGATTATTTCACTTACTTTATTAGATGACAACATTTTGTATACATTATTTCCGCGTTAATGCGCAAAAATGCGTCAGGAAACTTGATATTTAAATCTTTTTTTTTTACATTTACAATCTCTTGTTACGAAAACAAACGTAACCCTTATTCCTCTGGCAACGTATTGTATTTATCAATGATTACTCATCTTTTTTATTTCATCCTATATGCTATGTAATTTTTTTTTTTTTTTGTTCTTTCAGTTACATCGTTTACTTTCTGTCATCACTAAATTAATCCTCAACAAGACTCATGATTATTTCCCCTTCACTTGCTTATTTATGAAGTTTTGATTCAGAGAGTTAATCACACAACATGCATATCAAAATATTTATTTACAATATAATCTGATAGCTATATACTTGAATCAATTTCAGATTGGATTATTCTTGTTCTTGAATATTTATCATTGTTATTTTTCTATATATATATATATATATTTAACCCACAATCATGCCACAATGGCTTGTCTTTATTGAGAAATTAAAACAAAATCTACAATAATTTATAGACTTTCACAAAGTGACTAACTCATCTTCATACATAAGTACTCTAAGTCAGATTTCGGAGACAATATTACACTCCCCTAATATATTGGTAATCTATCAAAATTATTATCAACAGTTTGTCACTATTAATTGACCTGAAAATCAATAAATTGCTAAGTTAAAAGAGAAAGAAAAAAATTAATTGAAGGAAGGGGACAATTCAAGGTCCATCAAAAAAAAAAAAAAATCCAAAAATAAAATCAACTTTTTCTTAAAAGAGATCTGCCTAATTGGGTTAATTTCTTGTTTTACTTGAATCTTGAAAAAAATCTTCTTTTTTATCACCTGCAACATTAAACAAATCAATTCAACTAATCCTTTATTTTAATAAGTACTAAATTGAAATATCTCAAGGAAAATATTTAAATCTCAACTTTTTTTTATTAAAGCTTTGTCATTACCTGAAAAACTTAAGTAGGTGATGAGAGTTTACAATTCACATTATCTATCACTTGATCTTTTAATATCATAAAAGTCTTTATTAAGGAGCTTAAACTTTTAAAAATAAATATTTTTAAAAAATTCTTTTTAATCATTAATGATATCATCAGAATGTATGTATGTAATCAATAGAAGCTTGTTTATATTTTAAAAACCAATATATTTCATATTAACTAATTACTTTTGATAAGGATTTATATATCAAAAATTTAGAATCAAATTAAGAAAGACAAAATTTTTTCAAAAAACTGTAAAATTAAAAGCTTTAAAAGGATTAGGACAATTTAAAAGAAAGCAAATAAGCCTTTTAACTATAACAAAATCTCTGTAACCTCTTGTTTCAATGATTAAAAAAGTCTTTAAATACTTCATATTCAAATTTTCTTTCTTTGAAAATTTTCTTATTATTAGTATTAAAGATATTATTTGACTTTTCTTGATTACTGAAAGTCTATTTTTGGATAAAAAGGTTTATAAACAATAGAAAAAGAGTAAAAATGATTTTTGAAGTCAGACTTCAAGTTATTTTAAGAAAAGTATTAAAGTTTTATTGGCAAAGAAGTAAAAAACTTCTTGTAAATATCTTTTTTATATGTGATTAAAAAATCAGCAAAAAGAGTTATTGTTATTTTTCTATATTTTTAATAATTTTTATTACTTTTGCTTTGTAGCTTGGATAATGTTTAGATATTAATTCATTAAAAATTATTGTAATAAAATTTTTTTCTTCTCTTTTTTATTGTTAAATATATTGTATATATTAGATTAAAATTTGTTTTTTATAAAATATAGTTTTATTTACTTCCAACAATTATATAATAATATTATTTAGAAATATACTGTAAATGTTTATAAAGTTAATATTATTTTATTAATTTTTATTGTTCTTGTTTTTAGTTAAAAAATTTATCCTATTATTTATAATTTATTTTTTTATTCTATTGTTTTAAAATATTAATCAATATATATATCTATTACCTTCTTTTCTATTTTGAACAATCTATAATATAAAAAACTCTTTCTACTAATCCTTTATTCATATACAAAAAAGATGGTTACAAAAAATTTTTTGTTTCTTTGCTAATAAAGTCTTAATACTATTCTTAAATCAACTTGAAATTTTATTTTAAGAAATATTTCTAAACTCCTTTTCTTGTTTTATTCATTTTCAAACAAAAACTTGGCTTCCTGTGACCTAAAAAAGTCAAGAAACACCTTTTCTACCTATGGCAAGAAAGTTCTGAAAGGAAGAAGAACTAATAATGTAGTACTTGAAGTCTTTCATATTGAAGCATGTCTATAAAGGTTTTCTGCAATGGGAGGTGGCAAACATCAAGCCATATTTCAAAATGTCTGCCTACTGTTTCTTCTCTCTTATAGTCGCCCAAAATTTTTTTGGTTTTCTGGGGAATTTTGCCTACCTCAATTTGACCCTGAATTTTAGGTGACACAATCTATTGCAAAATATGATTAGTAAACACGAAATACGTTAATAGCTAAATGTAAACAAATACCTACTGGTCACTTTATGTGTTCCAATGATATCATTGGTGATAGAAAGAGTTGATTGGTGCTTCATGTCCATCCTACTTCTCCAAATGAATTAACCTACAGATCAAGTACCATAAGGCCAATAAAATACAAGCAACAAGTCCCCAGGTGGTGAAAAAGCTGCTATTTGTTCAAGCTGAGGTCTTTCTCTCCTATCATCCTGATCAGGCAAAGTTCAATACCAAAGTCTTCCTTTTATCCCGGTTAGGCAATAAGACCAAATGGTTTCTAGTCTATGCTAAGCTCCAACCCTTTGGTTATAGTTGAGAATACATTTCTCCAGAAGTTGCTGAAGGATATTGCAATTGACAAGAATCTCCATCACTACTGTTACCCTCCCATCATTACAAGGCAAAAGGATTATTGAGGAATCTGGCCTTTTGGGTAATGAAAGATGTTTATCAGTAAAATTCCTTTAATTAGGCATGGTTGCAGGAAGGTATCATACTGAAACAATATGATCTAGTTCTTATTAGGTCACATAAGAACCTGGGGTTTATTATAAGTCATCTCTCTACCACAGGTGGATAAAAAATCATTGCCCAAAGAAAATTGGGACTAGGTATGTTCTGAAAGTAAAGGCTTCCACTAGGCGATAAGTCTCCTTAAACAATACATAAGAAGGAAATCAAGATTAAGAATAGGTAAGTTCCTCAGACAGTCAGGAAAAGAAAGGATATCCCAATTGGGTATTTCTTATTGAGAAGAGATATTGAGAAGCAGGTCTTTGGAGGAAGCTGGAAATATTTTTTCAATTTTTACTTTTTCATTTTCTTGTAATCTACTTAGACATTTTTAAAAATCACTCCTCTCCTTTTTCAACCTATCCTTTTATAGTTTCCTGTATTCCAGTGGCTTGGTCAGACATATGGCAGTGATAACCTATTGGCAATAATGCAGTGAACTAGGAGGGTCTTTATCCAAAGACACTGCAAAACAAAATATTGTTCCTAAGGCCGAACTTAGAGGCTTTATGCTTATGACAAGTTAGTTAGATTAAAATAATAGTTTAGCTGTAGTATGTATCATACTGCTCGAATGAAAATGTACTTTTGTTTTCAATTGATTAATAAACTGACGATCTAGCCTGGCTATGGGTACTCAAAAAAAATAAAAAAAAATAAAAAAGGATAGAGTATATATAAAAAAAAAATGTATACTATATAATAAATGATAGAAAAAAATCAGAAATATTTATAAATATACCAACTGGAAATTATTATTATATATAATAATAATAGTAGCATTATAGTAATACTAAATAATATAATATTAATATTAAAACAAATATATAACTCTTTTTGCTAATCCTTTAACTACACACAAAAAAAGATATTCGCAAGAAGTTTTATACTTTCTTGCTAATAAAGTCTTTACACTTTCATTAAAACAACTTGAAGCTTGTCTTCATGTATCTCTCCTACCCTCCCTT